GCAGGAGACATGGGTTCAATCCCTGATCCAGAAAGATCCCACATGTTGCGGAGCAACTAAGCTCATGCCTCACAACTATTGAGTCTGTGCTTTAGAGCCTGGGAAGCCCGTGCACCTTAGAGCCCATGCTCTGCACCAAGAAAAGCCACTGCAATGAGAAGCCCATGCACCACAACTGGAGTGTAGTTCCTGCTCACCACAACTAGAGAAAGCCCGTGCTGCAATAAAGACTCAGCACAGCCAAAAATAAATAAATAAACTTATTTTTTAAAAAAAGATATGTTCTTTATTTTATTTATCAGTCAGTCTTTCTTTTACAGATCATGTTTTTGTTGTCATATCTAAGAAATATCTACCTAATCCAAGGTCACAAGGATTTTTTCCTATGTTTTCTTCTGAAAGATTTGTAGACTTAGGCTTTATAGATTAAGGCTTTATATTTAGGTCTATGATCCATTTTGAGTTAATTTTTGCATATAGTGCAAGCAATGAATCAAAGTTCATTTTTGTGATTATGCATATCCAGTTCTTCCAGTACTCTTTGTTGTAAAGACCATCTTTTCTCCGCTGAATTGTTTTTGCACTTTTGTCAATAAATCAATTCATCATGCACCTATGGGTCCAGTTATGGACTCTACTGTGTTCCATTCATCTATATGTCTATCTTTTTTGCTATTAGCACACTATCATGTTTACTCTAGTTTTATTCTAAGTCTTGGAATTGTGTAATTCCAGCTTCATTCTTTTAAAAAGCTACGTTACAGAGAAGGCAATGGCAACTCACTCCAGTACTCTTGCCTGGAGAATCCCATGGATGGAGGAGCCTGGCAGGCTACAATCCATGGGGTCGCTAAGAGTCAGACATGACTGAGTGACTTCACTTTCACTTTTCACTTTCATGCATTGGAGAAGGAAATGGCAACCCACTCCAGTATTCTTGCCTGGAAAATCCCAGGGACGGGGGAGCCTGGTGGGCTGCTGTCTATGGGGTTGCACAGAGTTGGACATGACTGACGTGACTTAGCAGCATCAAGGACAAATTTACTGGGAATTCCCTGGTAGTCCAGTGGTTCGAACTCTGCACTTCTACTGCAGGGGACCTGGATTGTAACCCTGGTCAGGGAACTAAGATCTGCATGGCGTGGCCAAAAATAAATAACAACTTTGTTCATTAAAGGTAAAAAAAAAATTTTTAAAAGCTACATTAGCATTTATACCTGAATTTTATTTATTTTTAAAAATATTTATTTATACTGCTGTGTTGGGTCTTAGTTTTGACGTGTGGGATCTTTCATTGCAGCCCACAGACTCTCTAGTTGCGGTGTGTGGGCTTAGTTGCTCTGCAGCATGTGGGAACTTAGTTCCCTGACCAGGGATCAAACCTGAGTACTCTGCATTGCAAGGCAGATTCTTAACCACTGTACCACAAGGAAGTCCCAACACCTGAATTTTGTGCGTACTAAGTAGCTTCAGTCAAGTCCAACTCTTTGTAACCTTATGGACTAGCCCGCCAGGCTCCTCTGTCCATGGGATTCCCCAAGCAAGAACACTGGAATGGGTTGCCATGCTCTCCTTCAGGGGATCTTCCCCATCCAGGGATCTAACCCAGGTCTCCCACATTGCAGGCAGATTCTTTACCATCTGAGCCACCAGGGAAGCCCCACTTGAATTTTAGAATCAGCTTAATTTCTACAAGAAAAGTAAGAAGGTCTATTAATCTGTATATAAATTTGGAGAGAATTGGCATCTTAGTAATGTTGAGCACTTTAATCCCTAAACATGATATATATCTATGTTAATTCAGGTATTCTTTTATTTCTCTCAACAATATTTTTGTAGTTTTCAGTGCACTGGACTTACATATTTTTGTCTGACTTGCTCCCATGTATTTCAAATTTCTGGTGCTCTTGCAAAAGGCATTTTATAACTCCTATTTCCAAATTTTCATTGTTATGATATATACATATAAATAATCTTTATTGATCTTATCAGGTTTGTTTATTCTGATCTTTCTACACTCACAAAGTTTATGAGCATTTTAGTATTGTTCATCTACAAAAAAAGAGAGTTTTGTTCTTCCATTCTAGTATGGATGCTTTTCCTTTTCTAGTCTTACTGCACTGGCAATGTTGAATAGAAATAGCGAGAACAGACATGTTCCTGATCTTAGAAGAAAGGGATGTAGTCTTTCTCCATTGAATATAATTTTGGCTATAGGGGTTTGGTAGATGCTCCTTAAGATTAAGGAAATCCATTCTATTTTTAGTTTGCTGAGATTTTTATCAGAAATTGATGATGAATTTTGGTAAATGCTTTATTTGTATCTATTGAGATAATTATATGGTGGGCTTATTTATGTTTAAATTTTTTATTTATTTTAACATGGTGAATTATAATTTTTGATTTTCAAATATTAAACCTACCATGCATTACTTGCATAAACCCTACCCTACTTGGTAAGAACATATTATCTGCTTTATATGCCATTGGATCTGACTTGCTAAAATTTTGTTCTTCATTTCTGCAGCTCTATTAATGAGCTATAGTTTAATGATTTTTAACTTATGTCTCTGGTTTGGTTTTAGGGCTTATTTTGTTTCATAAAATTAGTTGGACATCAGTCCTTATCCCTCCACTGTCTGAGTTTATGCAAGACTGATATTGTTTCTTACATAAATGCTTCATATAATTCATCAGTGAAAACTTCTGGACTAGAATTTTTATGTGAGTGTGGGAAGGGTTTGATAATTCAATTTCCTTAGTAGATATATAGCTATTCATATTTTGTTTCATTTAGTTACTTAGTTGGTTAGTGTTAGGTAATGTGTATTTCTCAAGTTATTTGTCCATCTTTCTTCAGTCTTCTTCATTCTGCTGTTAAAAGCCCATCTGGTAAATGGTTCTTTCTCATATTTTGCTTTTCAAATCTAGATTTTTCTTTTCTTTTTTTTTCAACACAATTTCCAGTGCTTTGTTATGATTCTCTATCTGTTCACTTATTATTAGCAGAGTTCCCTTTAAGCCAACAAATATATTTACCCTATCTGCTTTAAATCAGTCTCCCTTTTTAATCATTTAATTTCACTGTAAGTTGCTGATTCATAGTGGCTAAGTTTATGCTATTTAATCATCAGCAATACTTACTTTGTAATTAGTTGTCTAAAAATTCTAACATCTGTGTCATTTCAGAGTTAGTTTTCATTTATTGGTCATTTTCTTGACTATGGGTCACTTTTACTTGTTACTTCACAGATCTTGTTGTGTTAGTGTCTAGTAAGTTTTAATTGCATACTGGACATTGTACTTAATACGTACACACATCCTGGATTCTTTTATATAGTCTGAAAAGTACTGAACATTTGTTTTAGGAAATAGCTAACTCGGCTGAACTAACACTTAAAACTCCATTTTCCTTTCAATGGACAGCAGTTAAATCTGTATTGCCTTATTGCGGCCTTTAAGTGGTTCCTTTCTGCTGGGTTGAATGAATCCTCCTGTATACATATAATGTTCAAGGTTCAGTCAAGTATTTGGGTGACATTTGCAAGCAGATATTTGGGCTCTCCATTCTGTAACTCTCTCCATTCCAGCATATCTCCCATCATTTTATAGCCATTCTGGCATCCTCAATTCTGTCCGTGACTTCTCAAGCCACTAGGACTGTGGTTTTCTGTCTGCCATCTTACCATCGATTGCCATGCAGACTGAAAGGTACACCCAGGATAAAAAGGTACATAAGTGCAAACATGCACACTATACTTCCCTTCTTTAAGAGGTAGAATTTGCTGTACTGTTTTCCTACTTTGGTCACTCTCCTATACTACTAAATAGTTGTTGTATTTTGTCCAAAATGTTCACTTCTTAAAAAGAGTTAATCTGATAAAAGTCATTCCTCTAATGTCAGAAATGAATCCCTCTTGGTCTTTTTACCACTACAGAAATTACCTTTACCATAAAACTACTCCCCTCAAACTAATGTTACTCAAATAATGGTTCTGTATAACACTCTTCAATTATTATTAGTAGGTGTTCTGTTGGAAGGAAAGTGGGTTAAATAAAGCTTAGAAATATAGCTTTGCAAAACAAATAGGTTTCTTTACTCCAGGACTTTTAAACACCTTTAATATGCTAGCATACCTTCTATATGCCTAAATGGAATATGCTCAAGATACTGTCCTGAACTTTTTCTTATATAATTAGTAACATTCAGTGATTCATTCAAAAATATTGAGTTCCAAAGAATGAAGACTAGAGTATGATCACCTTCCTCCAGTACAATTCTTTTTTTAAGCTACAGTTCACTATCCCTTTTTAAACACATCTAATTTCAGGGTCAGTCACTGATTCCTAGTGGCTAGGTTTATGCTATTTAATCATCACTAATACTTTGTAATCATCATATCTACACAGTAAGGATGCTGTTATGAGAAAAGTAAGATGAAAGTAGAGATGCAGCAATCATTAACTTACATGGAGTAGATAAAAATACATGAAATTGCCTAGTATGGTGTCTAGCATAGATTAGTAGCCTGATAAATGTTTTGTTCCTTAAGTGTTTTTTTACTTTCTTTTGCCTATTAAGTCAGTGATTACAAGATTCATCAGAGATTGGCAGACTATAGTTATCAGGCCAAATGCAGTCAGAAGCCCATTTTGTATAGTCTAAAAGCTAAAAATCTTTTTAACATTATTAAAGGACTATTTTTTAAAAAGGAGAAAAACATGTGAAAGAGACCTTATATAGCTCAAAAAGCCTAAAACATTTGCTATTTGGCCTTTTACAGAAAGTGTTTGCTGACTTCTGAGATATAGTCTAATCCTTGTAGTAATCTAAAATAAGCAGCATAGTAAAATTCATTTTACTTAGTTATATTTAATTTATTTATATATTTATTTTATTATATTCATTTTAATTATATGCTGGGAAGTCTTATTTTTTTAAATTAAAATCAGTATTTTATTGGTTTTCTAAATTTTTGAAGGATTAATTCATATCTTACCTTTTCTCCTTTTATACCACTACAGTCACATTTTGATCCTGGAGAACACCCATAGCAAGCCTATAAGGAAGAAGAAGTGGGAGCAAAATCATTAAATATGAACCTAAAAACCAGATTCTGACTTATGGCTCAGATGAATTCAACAATCCAAACTTTTAAAGCAACTACCATAAAAATATCTAAAAGGATAAATACTAAACTATAAACAATGTTTATCTCTGAGGAATCATCCATCTTTTATTGTACACATTTCTGTTTGAACTCTTTAAAATGAGAAAATACAATAGTATAAAGTGAAAGTCTTTTTAAAAATGAAAAAAAAAAATCCATACAACTTCCCTTTATTATAATTTTCAGCCCTAAGGAACTCCTTTTTTCTCTTAACATCGCTTGTAAGAAATTACCTCTCAATCTATGTTAGCAAAGACTTTGGCAACTAGCCAAAGATGACTGCCACTTAAAGTCCCTCGATTTTCTGCATTCATTAGCAATCAGGGAGCATGAAATATATACTACCTTTTACCACATTTCTTTCCTTTGCTTCCACTCTTTCATCACTAGTAGCTTAGTCTCTAATACCTCCAAGCTTTACTTCAGATGCTGTTCCCAGAGCCTAGGTGTCTTAAACAGCCACTACTAACAAGTTCATTCACTCATACTAGGAACTGAAGTCTTGGAGCCAGAAAAATATCCTTCTCCAAAATAAGAACCTATAGGACAAGAAGACAACAGATGATGTCTGCCATTTAGAACTATCCTTTACTCTTGCATGAAGTTGAACTGCTTAGAAAAACAAATAGTAATTAGTTTAACATATGTAGATAGTTCACCATTCATGTAAAATAAGGGGTTATGCTCCTCATCAAATAAAAGACATTTTTATGTGATATAAATATATAAATGAATGTTTATAATGTTCAGCCTTGGGAGGCTATGATTTATTTATTTATTTATTTATTTATTATTAGTTGGAGGCCAATCACCTCACAATATTGCAGTGGTTTTTGTCATACATTGAAATGAATTAGCCATGGATTTACATGTATTCTCCATCCCGATCCCCCCTCCCACCTCCCTCTCCACCCGATCCCTCTGGGTCTTCCCAGTGCACCAGGCCCGAGCACTTGTCTCATGCATCCAACCTGGGTTGGTGATCTGTTTCACCCTAGATAATATACATGTTTCGATGCTGTTCTCTTGAAACATCCCACCCTCGCCTTTGGGAGGCTATGATTTAAAATGTACCTTAGCCTCCTTCCCAACATTCCATGCTTTCCTTTACTCCATTCATTACCATAGTACCTTCCCCAATTCTTATCAAAGTACTAACCTTGTCCTTCTAAAACTCCTAACACACTCAGTCACAACTAGAAGCCACTCTCACGCTAAAACTCCTTTTCCTAATTGTAACAACAAACAATAATGACTTGATATTGGGGGAAATCTCTCACTCCCATTGCAAAAAGCTGTTTCAATAAAAGATGTGCATTTGACATTTCTAATGAAACTGTTTTATGTCCATAATTATTCATAGGTGATTAAGTTATACACTCTGGTTTTAGTGTTATGTATCAACTACATTACAGGTTAAATAGACTTATTCAGACTTACTTATTCATCAAACATAAATTGAGCATTACAAGAAGTCAGAAAACACGTTAGGTGTTAATATTCAATAAGGCACAGCTCATTCCAACATATATAACTAATTCAACAAATACATATTGATCACCTGTTATGTGCCAGCCACTTGGTTATGTTAGATGCAGGTAGTGATACAAAGACAGTATATCACTGCTCTCTAATGGGTAGGATAATCCCATACATAAATGTTATATTACAATGTGTCAGGAACAGATGTTAATTTAAGATATTTAGTAGTGTTTTGTGCAAACATGAATTCTAGATTCCAAAGTAAAACTTAAAAATTTTAGAGTTTATTGATTCATGAGAGTGGTTATATTCACTGAATTAGACTGTGCATATTAACAGCTTTCAATTACATGCATTAATGGAGGAGTAAAGGATACTGATAATAAAAAATGATTGTAAATCTAAGAATTAATCTTTGACTTTGAAGTGTATATCTGCATTTTAAACATAAATATATTTGCATAGATTTTTGGTTCTGTAAGTAAAAGGTGGTATAACATTCTATTGTCATCTTTCATTAACAGTTCTATCTTTTTATATCTGTATGTTATATATTATATATGTATATATTTATAATACTGCATGTGTGTGTGTTAGTTGCTCAGATGTGTCCTACTCTCTGTGACCCCATGGATTGTAGCCCACCAGGCTCTTCTATCCATGGAATTTCCCAGGCAAGAGTGCTGGAGTGGGTTGTCATTTCCTTTTCTAGGGGATCTTCCTGACTCAGGGATCAAACTTGGGTTTCTCGCATGGCAGGAAGATTCTTTACCATCTGAGCCACCAGGGAAGCCCATAATACTGAATATTTTCACTTATATGTGGAATCCGAAAAGTAAAACGAACTAGTATATATAGCAAAAAAGGAAATAAACTCAGATATATTAGATCAGTAGTTACCAGTGGAGGGAAAGAAGAGGGGAGAAGGGACATAGAGATGGGGATTAAGAAGTACGAGCTACTATGTATCAAATAAATAAGCTACTAGTATATATTGAACAACACAAGGAATATAGCCAATATTTTTTAACAACTATAAATGCAGTATAAATTTTAAAATTGTGAATCACTAGGTTGTACACCTGAAACTTATACTGTAAATCAACTATAGCACAGTTAAAATTTTTTTTTAGATTAAAGGAGTTCTACCTTTTTAAAATACAAACTAAGTTCTTGAAAACAATTCAAAGCAACAACCTAATAGGATTTAATCAATATGGAGAAGACAGTATGCAACTTGTCTTTATAATTGCATTTCTGACTTTTCAGTATCCAACAATATCCTTCAACTTGTAATATAATTGATAAACAAACAATAAAACTTTAGTCATGCATGCCATTTTGGAAGTGATTTTATACAAAGTTTTTCTAAAAATTAATAATCTCATCATTTTGCACTTCTTTATAACTTAACATGTGATTATACTTTAGAGAGGTCGCTACTTAAAACATTTGGTGGCTACAGAAAAATCTGCTTGAATTCAATTTGAAATTTTAATTTATATTCTATTTATTCCACCTAGGTTATGAAAATGACTCCAGCACTCAGTTCAAGAAACAAAAGGAAACTGTAATACACAAAGCAACCACTAGATGCCACTTTTCTTACAGTTATAACCGTGATGCTCACAAGGAAATAGCTTCAATTTGACATCTGTTTAATGGAACAATTTATTTTTTATCAATATCTATTAATACTGATTAAATGCTTAATAAGAACCAAGCACAATATTAGGGCTGAGTTGTACAAAAAATAAATGGGTGCTGCCTTTAAGGAACTTCCAATCTAGTAAAACAAAACAAATCAGGCCCAAGCAAATGAAAAGAATACTTAATATAATGCAATAATGATATAGCAGACAACAGGAAGAGAAAAAGCTCCAAGATGCAACAAATATATCCTGATTTTACCTCAGGAACTGATTCACTATGTGACTACAGATAAGTCATTCCTATACCCTAGAGTTCAGGTTTCTCTTTGGTAAAACCATAGAGATAGACAATATAATATCTTTAGGTATTTTCCAGCTTTTATAGTCTGTGATTCAGTAAGATTTACCAAGTGAAAATGAGTTGTATAATCAATAATTGTTATCAAACTTAAGAGACTTCCTTTGAGCTTGGGAGTGTTCCTAATGGCTCTGCAGAAAATTTAAGTAGCTCCACTCCAATTTTTTAAAATGTAGTAGAAATATATCTAGAGGAAAATGGCCATACTAAGCAATAAAATTATAGTACAAATTTTTGTGAACAAAAAGCAATATTAAGTACCTCAGTCTAAGGGACTTAAGTCCATAGGGGAAAAGTACTATAGGAGTTATGTTAAAAAAAAAATACTTTCAAAAACTGTGGAAAAACTATTCTACAAAGTCACTGAAGACTGTTGAAGCAAGAAAACAAGTGCAACTATAGCAATGTTGTACACTTTTTAGTGTGGGAGAAAATAATAAAAAGTAAAAAAGAATTTTTATTATCACATAATAAAACATATCATGAAGATACAATAATTAAAACAGTATGGTATTGCTCAAAGAATAGGCAGCTCAATTATCCAAAATACAAACACCAGAAACAGATACACAGACACACACACATTTACTATATGATAAAAGTTGGAATATGAGATAGATAGGTCTTCCCTGTAGCTCAAATGATAAAGAATCTGCCTGCAATGCAGGAGACCTGGGTTCAGTCCCTGGGTTGGGAAGATCCTCTGGAGAAGGGAATGGCAACCCACTCCAGTATTCTTACCTGGAGAATCCTATAGAGAGGAGCCTAGTGATTTTTATGGTCTGTGGGATCACAAAGAATCAGACACGACTGAGTGACTAACACTACTATGAAATAGATGTAAAAATAATGGGCTGTTAACCTTGATGCTGGGCAAGTATAAAAAAACAATAAATTTAGATTTCAGGTTCCTACAGTAAAAAAAAATAAGATATGAGTTTAAAAGTATAAATAAAAGCAAACTTCTGTATGCATTAGGATCATTTATAAAACCTCACAAAAATTCAGATACTAGGACCCCATCCTAAAGATTTTGTTTCAGTAAGCTTGAGGTTGGCTATCAGAACCTAAAATTCTAATAAACACTTCTAGGTGATTTTGCTTCAGATGTTCTGAGATATATACTACAAAATAATGGCACAGAGAAATAATATACCAATAATGGAGTTAGGTATCAAGACAGTTTTTAAAAAAACTTTTATGCTTGAAAAGAATGCAAAAATACCTTAAAAACCTCAAAGAGAAGCACAATAGGATTTATCAGGCCAAAATCTAAGGGGGAAGAACTCCAATAAACTGACCATAGAAACTACTTTTGCCCCAAGGGCATTTACCAGACTTGGAGAATTTGAGATTCTTGTTTTTAGTGTAAGGGAGAACCATATACAAAATAACCC